TCCCCCTCTCCTATATCCCCCAAGAACCATTGGTCCCATTGTTTTCTCCTTGGAATTATTTATCCTGAAAATCTTATTTAGATAGACATGAAAAAACAAAAATAGTAACAAAAACAAAACAAAAAAACAGCAAAGAAAGAAAGAAAAGCCTATAAGTAGTTCAAAGTCTATCTGTTGACTTTTATGAGTGCTTTCCAGTTGAGTGTGATGAAATGTCATGCCTTGCACCCGAAGTCTATTTTTGGGATTCCTCAGGGACTTCATTGCTTTGCTCCCCTTGCTGCTCTGTTGTACATCCTCGTGTTTCTCCCTGGTATGGTAGGTCAGAGAGACCTCATTAGTGTTGAAAAGAAAGGATGTTACTTTGAGGACTAAGGTGCACCTGACCCAAGACATGGTATTTTCAATCGCTTCATACACAATGTGAAAGTTGGACATAGAATAAGGAAGATTGTAGAAGTATTGATGCATTTTGTGCCAGTTACATGATCTCCTGTAAACTTGAGCAAAGAGGTGGAGTCTAGCCTGTCAATCAGGTCATAACCAATAATGCCGCTCTGTTTCACCTTCCTGTGGACAAGCCAGATGGAGCTACAGAGGGAGCCAGAGCCCTGAAGCTGGAGGAGCCACTTGGAGACCCCTGCTAGCGCTGAGGTGTTTCCACCACCACTGGATCCACAAGACCTTCCACCCACTGGCCTGTGATCTTCCTGCATTCGGCATCATTGCATGTGTTGCATGCATTTGAAGAGGAATTTATTGACTAGTATTGGGCATATGGGGTACTATCAGACTTCTGGACTGGGCTGGGATGTTTCTCAATATACCATTGCTCTTTTATAGAAAGCTCTTTCATATATATATATATGAAATGTGTGTGTGGTGTGTATGTGTTTGTGTGTCTCTCTCTGGATTTATTTCTCTAGTCAACCCAGACTAACACATTATGGATAGGTTTATGCAGTGAAAAGGTTCATAACAGTTAATTAGTCTACACAGCAGTACAGAGGGTTAAGTTCAACTCACTTCACTGGAACAGTTAATTTACTTGATGTCCTTCAACTCATATGGGCTACCAGGCCCAAGGCCAAGGAAGCAGACAGCTGAGTCCTCCCTTGGGCAAGGCAGGCAGAGTCTGCCTATCAGCAGCAAACAGCAAGGTGGGTCAGCAATAGTCAGTAGCTCGGGAGCTTATCAAAGCAGGCCCAGATGGGATATAAAACTCCAGGAATGGAAGGCAACAGGATCCAACAACCTCAAGCTCCAGCGATATCCGCACCAGCAGCATGGCAAAGCAGGTCTCAAATGAGCCTCAAGCTCTATGACTTGGCCCACAGGTAGTGCAGTTCACAGATTGAGCCAGAGAACTAGAGCCATTTATCCCTTTGCCCTCCAATCAACTGTGACCTAATTAATCCCACATGTTCCTATTGGCCAGGCTGGCACAATAAACCTAACTATCACACATTTCAATTGTGGTGCTGGCACAGAATATTGAAAGTACCATGGATTGTCAAAAGGACAAATGATCCTGTCATGGAAATAGTATGACCAGCACGCTTCTGTGAGGCAAGGCTGGGGAGACTTCGTCACATATATTTTGGACAAGTTGTCAGGAGATAGACCAGTCCCTGGAGAAAGACATCATGCTTGGTAAGGTATAGGGGCAGTGAAAATGAGGACGGCCCTAAATGAGATGGGTTGACATGCCCGAAGTGT